TCCAACCGGTACTTCAGGCGTTCCTTCACCTCACGTGCGTAGACCTGGCAGAGCTTCTTGCACGAGTAGTAGTCGTGGCCAGTTTTTTTACCTTTGATAAGGTGCTCGTGCAGCACGAACACGTGTTTAGCCGGTTCACCATTCATGTCCACACCCTACACCTTTACCTCCCGATGTTGCGGATCTGCCTGCTTCTTTAGGAACTTGTTCAGCAAGGGTGATTGTCCGCTGCCAATTGAATCCTCGTAGTCTAGATAGTGGACTTCGATTGTGGGATACGCAAGGAAAACTTCACTTGCGACGACTGTAATGTCCACTTGCCAGGTTTAGAGACACAAGACAATGTTAGTCGTTGGGTTTTTTAGTGACTTAACATCTACCGCCTGCAAAATGAAAACATTACTTGAAGCTTCTGGAACTTGGCATTCAACTCGTTCAGGATCGCTAGCAAATCTGCAAGGAAGTAGACGAGAAAGTGAAATTTGAAATACATGCAGGTCTCGTACATCTTTTTATCCTTCTCGTGCAGCAAGAATACCGTCGCCGGAAGCACCTTCGCAAAACTCTTCACCGCCTCTCCCCGTGATAGCCAACGCACGTCATGAATGCCCTGCAGCTCGAGGTTCGTCTCGCAGACAACTTCTTGAAGTTGGCGGAAACGCCTATGGTGATTGGAGCTTTGCGACAGCATCGTCGCCACCGCCCGAACTCCCTTGTCAACGATTTCCAAGTCCGTCAGCTTGGTCGCAGCATCTTTGGCAGCGAGCGCCTCTCTGTGAAAGGAAAGCATTCATGTTAGCCAGGTCGGTAGTAAGGGAGTTCATTGATGCATTAAACTTTTCACATGACATTCATTTTACATCCGCATTTTCCTACTGATGGGCAATGCAGTGACATGAGACGAGCTAGAGGTTCTTCGCGCGGAGACGAGGTAGAGGTTCTTCGCGCGGAGATGAGCCACAAGGCCAGCATGCTCCCCGGTCATGACCGAACCACCGTCAGTGCTTATCCCGACGATTTTCGAGAAGTCGAGGCCGATCGCATGCAGATGCGTAAGCAGCACGTCTTGGAGACTTGCAGCATCTGCCTTGTCGATCGTCAGCAGGGAGAGAAACTCCGTCACGACCTCCTCGCATTTCAAGTACGTGACGTACACGATAAGGTGCTTCTCGCACACCCTATCGGTACTCTCATCCAGAGCGATCCCGATGTAGGGACTCTGTCTGATGTGCTGCAGTTGCTCTTCACATAAATACTTGGACGCGGCTTCGACCAACTCGGAGAAGCCATACCTGCATGTATACGGTGCATATGTCAGAACGCACACGAGTGTCAGGAAAACATAACCGTGTCAAAACATGACTTCGAGATTCTCACTCTGAGTAGTAGCTTCCGCGCTGATCAATCGGGAGGTTCGGGCAACCCATCTCCAGCATAAACTTGATAAACCCGATGTAGGAAGAGATTGGTGCCTCGGAATGGCACGTGAAAACCGCCGTTTTTAACGCCGCGATAAGGTGAAGTGTCTTCTTGTCGACTCCCTCGTACTCGTCCAGCATCGCTTGGCGCAAATTCCGGCTCTCCGTCGCCTTCTTGGCCCCATGCGCGTCAAGATGTGCTGTAGACCGTTGATGAGTTCAAATTCTCTGCTTCTGCATGTCGCGTCCACCAGCACCGCCCTTGCCGTATGCCGTATTTGCATTCTCGATGCCAAACTCCATGCAAGTGCTGCATTTTAAAATAGGAAACCCATCGTCAGCGCGAGACAACATAAGCCACGGGAATAATCGTTGCCCGGGGTTTGTGAAGCGACGGTGTGCCTTGGTAAATGCGAGTTAAGGATCTTTTTCTGAGGTCGTGAGATCTTCCTCCTCTTCGTTGTCTCCGTCGATGTCACCCACCTCGTCGCCTAGACTGGGCTCCCGTGTAAATCTGAGCTTCCGCTGACGCCATTTCTGCAGCACGGTACTGACGCTTGGTTTGCGCTTTGTGCCACTCGACTCCCGTCCAGGCTCCGTGAGTTCTTGGGATGGGCCGGCAATGGCAGGTTATGGGGTCGTTGCATTGGAACCAGTAGTGGGTAGGGAGGGCGGATCTGTCCGCGTCTGGACAAACTCGGTAACGGGAACCGCAAAAGGCCTCAAAAAGCTGAGACCTGTTCTCGGGGGAGAGTCGGAACGAGGCTTGCCGACCTCGTTGTCGTCGTGACAAAGAACGTCAATAGCCATGGACAAGAAAATGGGATGTGGCTAGCTAGCTAGACACTCAGACAGGAGCTGCGTGGTGGTGAGACAGTGGCTGAGCTTGTAGAAAAGACCATGCTTGTCTGCAAAGCGTTGCTGTGAGAGCTTCCCGTCCCGGTGGGGTGTCCAAGGAGGGTGTGTGATGGTAGTGGGAATCTGGAAGGTTCGGTGTGGAGGGGATTGCGTGCGCACGCCGCGCTGTGCTGTGCTATGCAGAAGGCGGGACGTGATGATGTCCTGCCACTCTGCACGGCTGCGCCGTGTCCTGGCGGTCCGGGCCGTCAAGGCGACCCGCACAGTCGTGATTGTGAAAGTTAGCCACTAATTGCGGCAAGATTTTCGCCGACTGTTGATGTGCTGGAACCCCCCCCCCCCCCCCCCCGAAATTCGTCAGCGTCAAATTCGTTTCGAGTCTTTCACACCAGTCTAGTTACACAAGCCACTCTGAAATATCAGCCTATTGTGAAACATAGCTTTTTCAAAAAAGGGTCCAGCCACAAACAACTCTGAAAAAAAAGGCCAAGACAACCCAGACTTATAGTAAGGGTTGTAAGGGTGATTCACCCTGCTAACCAGAGCCCTGGTACCCGTACCACATGCATTTTGCCTGCCTGGCGGTGACACACAGCGCCACACAAGTGTGCATCGTCCAAGAGAGTCCTGCTTGGTCCCTTTCTCCCTCCCCACCAGACCCCCACCCACCGACCAGCCGCTCTCGCCCAACCCCAACCCAGTCAGTTTATTTCATTCATCCAGTTTTCCTCCTCGTGGCAAGAAGCGCCGCCCTGCTCAAGAGTTCCTATACCGTATTATCTTGTGCTCACTGCTAAGCTTATTCTGTTAGAACCAGGCACTGATGCTTTAGTTGCTCTGTTAGTTAATGCCATCTTTAATATGTAATCCACGCTTAAGTCTAAACATGAAAGGGTGAAAACAATGTGCACACTGATGAGCAAGAGTACCTTTCCAACTGACACTGAGAAAAAAGACTGACATGGCTGACCCACCCTTCCTGAAAGACCAACTTCAGCGAACTGGCCTTGCGAGTGAGAGTGCCCCAAATCCTATCCAGAGGCCTGAAGGGCGCCCTAAAATACAACTCTGTAAAATCAGGGTGAACACTTAAACCCACCCTTATAGTAAGGGCCATAAGGGTGATTTACCGTGATATCAAGAGGCCTGGTCTGTGCATGCATGGGAGCAGCAAGCAGCAGAGGCGATCAAACAGGAGTACCGCTTCAAACGCCCTGAGCTGCTCAAACCTCTAGTGGAGCCGGCTTTAGCGAAGCTTGTATCATGATGACGTGTCATGCCATAGGAGAGAATGGTGCTGGAAGCTGCTAGTGTCTGTGGTGGTGCCTCAATCAAGACACAGCAGGGTGCTAGGTGCTAGACGCATGAACTGCTAGGTGCTGCTGCAACTCATTCAACCTGGTGACTGTGAAAACGTTGCCTTTGGCAACTTGTATGAGCAGTGCGCTTCATTTCAGTGGGTTTGCGTACATTAATCTTGTCCAACAGCAATTTCAGCTAAACTAGAGAAAAAAAACTGAATGGATAGGTGAAAAGGGGTGTGAAATGGAAACTCTTGAAATTTATGAAAGACTGGGTCAGGCCCACAGGCTTGATTGAATCCAATAAGACAAAACTTAGCTGATTCACTGTACCCTCTTTAATTAACTTAGAATAATACACCCAAAGTTCACTACGAGGTTGGATCTCGAGCCGAGTTTCTTGACATTATTTGAGCCCAAACCTGCTTCGTGTTTGCCTTACACACCTCCCGAACCGAAACCGCAGCTGCTCCGAACCACAACCAATTATCTGTTCGTAAGCTTCGGCAGAGCCTAGGCACTTAGATTTGGGAACCAAACTGGGTCAAACGGTCGGCCATAATTGTACGCAGCACGGTTCCAAAGCAATGCGCCGCATTACACAGCGTAGCACCGCATATCACCGCCTGGCGTCGCACAAAACAAGCCGACCGAGCATCAAGCCTGAAGTCATCACACTCACCGCAGCGCAGTCCACGGGTGTTAGCGGACGCGTCACAGCATTGCATCATCGAGCAATGGCGCACCTTGGGCTGCATCTGTGCCGCGTTATGGACCCTTCACTTCGTGCCAGGAGGCACGACGCAGCACTAGGGTTGTTTCTCGTAATATACTTGCATGCAATCCGGGACGTCAGATCGCCGTTATTGGTACTAAACCCGCAGGGCGAGCTCTGGATCAGATTCGATATAGTCACGGGAAGTGGTAGGAAGGAGAGCGGGTGCTACAGTGCCTCACCTGCCCTCGGTTTAGCGCTAGTACCTCGTTCGTATGGAATTTAGAAATGCGATTTACCGTCGCAGTGACCTACGTCGGCGGGAGCCGTCGCCGAATCACACGCGCGCGCGCCGCCGCCGCGCAACCTGCGCTCTGTGGCCGACAGCTCACGTCGAGGAACTTGCACAGGGCGCGTCGTGGCAGCACCTCCCCGTCGTCATCCGCAGCACCCCTTCGCTCCAATCGCGCCGCGAGCGCCTCAAGCTCCTCGCGCGCCTTGCGCTCGTCGCGCTTCTTGCGCTGCCGCTGTGCCCACATTGCCGCGGCTCCCCAGCGCCGCCAGGAGCGCCCCCCCCGGCGGCGCCGCCAGCGGTAGTAGTGGCGCCACCGCCAGTCACCCCCGACACTCGAGGTACTGCTGGGAGAGGAGGGGGGGTATAGGGGGGAAATGTGGTGGTTTGGCTGCAGTGCCTGGCAGTTGCGGCAGTCAACGACCATCGAAGGTGTGGACGGAGGAAGTTGGGCGGCAGTGGGCGGCAGTGGGCAACAGTAGACGGCGGCGGGTGGCAGTGAGCAAGTCAGGGAATGGGAGGGAGTGGCTGAATGGTAGGGAGGGTTTGGGAGGGAGGGAATGGGAGGGAGGGAATGGGAGGGAAAGGGAGGGAGGGAATGGGAGGAAGGGAATAGGAGGGAGGGAATGGGAGGGAAAGGGAGGGAGGGAATGGGAGGAAGGGAATGGGAGGGGAGAATGAGAGGGAGGGAATGGGGGGAGGGAGGGAATTGGAGGGAGGGAATGGGAGGGAGGGAATGGGAGGAAGGGAATGGGAGGGAGGGAATGTGAGGGAGGGAATGTGAGGGAGGGAATGGGAGGAAGGGAATGGGAGGGAGGGAATGTGAGGGAGGGAATGTGAGGGAGGGAATGGGAGGGAGGGAATGGGAGGAAGGGAATGGGAGGGAGGAAACGGGAGGGAGGGAAAGCGATATTGGGATGGGGGGCGTCAGTTATCAGCGTGGGTGGCTTCACCCGTCTTGCACAAGGACCGAGTGCTGCCCTGCAATCCCCTCCGCCCTGCCATCCCCTCCGCCCTGCAATCCCCTCCGCCCTGCAATCCCCTCCGCCCTGCAATCCCCTCCGCCCTTCAACCCCCTTGCACTTGATGCCCGCAGTTCCCCCCCCTCTCTCCGCACCCTCCCCCTCCCCCCCTCCCCCCCCCCACCCCCTCTCCCCTCCCGCTCTTTTTCTTCCCCCTTCCGCCCCCCACCCTGTGCTGGCGCGCCTGGTGCAGGGCTGGCAGCTTATGAGGCATGGGCATGGGCACTGTCATACCCCTCCCCCCCCCACCCCCTCCTCCTCCCTCCCCCGCTCGTCCCCTTCCGCCCCCTACCCTGTGCTGGCGCGCCTGGTGGTTGCAGGGCTGGCAGCTCGCGAGGGATGGGTTCTGCCATATCCCTCCTCCTCCCTCCCCCGCCCGTCCCCCTCCGCCCCCCACGCAGCGCTAGCAGGCCTGGTGCATTTCTGGCATATTGGGGGGGGTGACTTCACGCGGTGGACGAACGTGAGCGACGTGTGCACGCTCAACGACCCGCGCATCACATGCAACAACACGGCTGTTGTCGCCCTGTGCGTGCATGCCCTGCCCTGCCCTGCCCTGCCCTGCCCTGCCCTGCCCTGCCCCGCCCTGCCCTGCCCTGCCCTGCCCTGCCCTGCCCCGCCCTGCCCTGCCCTGCCCTGCCCTGCCCTGCCCTGCCCTGCCCCGCCCTGCCCTGCCCTGCCCTGCCCTGCCCTGCCCCGCCCTGCCCTGCCCTGCCCTGCCCTGCCCTGCCCTGCCCTGCCCTGCCCTGCCCTGCCCTGCCCTGCCCTGCCCTGCCCTGCCCTGCCCTGCCTTGCCCTGCCCTGCCCTGCCCCGCCCTGCCCTGCCCTGCCCTGCCCTGCCCTGCCCTGCCCTGCCCCGCCCTGCCCCTCCCTGCCCTGCTGTAACGCCTGTGGGCTGTGTTAATGGGCATTATGCTGTGCCAAATAACTTCCTCTTTTCAATTTGACCCAGTGTGTAGCGAGATCAGAGCCTAGTGTTCAAATCCCTGCTGGTCCACATTTTCCGCCCGTGGCGAGAATTGAAATGTGGTTCCCAGACATGAACCCAGGAAACGATCCTCTGCTGTCCTGACCTGAGCAACCAGCGAAGTCGCAGCTAGCAGCACTGCTAACTCTAGGTCCCTGCAGGAGGGGCCGACTCCCTGAAGTAGAGAGCCAACGGGGACTAAGGCGCCAGGGGGGGACGAGTGTAACGCCTGTGGGCTGTGTTCATGCGACACTCACTTTCATGCGACACTCACTTTCATGCGATACTCACTTTCATGCGACACTCACTCTCATGGGACACTCACTTTCATGCGACACTCACTTTCATGCGACACTCACTTTCATGCGACACTCACTTTCATGCGATACTCACTTTCATGCGACACTCACTCTCATGCTACACTCACTTTCATGCGACACTCACTTTCATGCGACACTCACTTTCATGCGATACTCACTTTCATGCGACACTCACTCTCATGCGACACTCACTTTCATGCGACACTCACTTTCATGCGACACTCACTTTCATGCGACACTCACTTTCATGCGACACTCACTTTCATGCGACACTCACTCTCATGCAACACTCACTTTCATGCGACACTCACTTTCATGCGACACTCACTTTCATGCGACACTCACTTTCATGCGACCCTCACTCTCATACGACACCACAGAGAGTGAGCATATTCACAGAACTGTACCCCCTGTGCTGCCACCCCTTGTGCTGCCACCCCTTGTGCTCCCAGGAGGCTGTCGCAGGCCAACATTCTGGGCGAGATGCCAGATGTCATCGGCAATCTCACCTCCCTCACCGCTCTGTACGCCTCTACACCGCACGCCCCCTGGGACTCTCATTCCTCCCTCCTTTGCATGCCTCCATGCCGTTCCCTTTATGTCCTCCACTCTCTTACTCTCCGCACCCCCATCGTTCTCCACACCCCCCTCAATTTCTGCACTTTATACTCCCTTGCTGACCTGCACTTGTCTTACACATGTACCGCTTTCCCCTCCGCCCATGCACCGTCCCCTCAACCCATGCACCGTCCCCTCCGCCCATGCACCGTCCCCTCCACCCATGCACCGTCCCCTCACCATTCTCGTCAGAGCCACCTTGAAACACCAAGCTCCCTCACTCCGCCCTCTCTCGCCCTCCTCCGCCCTCCTCCGCCCTCATCCACTCCACCCCCCCCCCCCCCTCCCCCCTTTCCTCCCAGCTATCTGGACAGCAACCGGTTTTACGGCTCTCTGCCTGCGTCCCTCAGCCGCCTCACCAATCTCCAACACCTGTGAGGCCCACTTGGCCCTCGAAACACCCGCAAGCACGGATGCGCGTGTGACTCCCACGTGCGCACTACACTGCAGTAGAGTGCACTTTACTCCCACGCACGTGCACACTACAATTAAGTCACACTTGGCCGCAGAGTGAGTAAGCACAACCAACCGTACCATATAACCATGTACCCCTTGTGTTGCTTGTGCCGCTTGTGCCAATTTTGCTGCTTGTGTTGCTTGTGCCGCTTGTGCTGCCTTTGTTGCTTGTGCTGCTGTGCTGCGTGTGCTGCGTGTGCTGCGTGTGCTGCGTGTGCTGCGTGTGCTGCGTGTGCTGCGTGTGCTGCCAGGGATCTCTCACAGTGCGAGCTCACAATGGTGCTGCCAGATGTCATCGGCAATCTCACCGCCCTCGTCTCCCTGTATGCCGTCACTCCCTGCATTCTCCACACTCCCTGCATTCTCCACACTCCCTGCATTCTCCACACTCCCTGCATTCTCCACACTCCCTGCATTCTCCACACTCCCTGCATTCTCCACACTCCCTGCATTCTCCACACTCCCTGCATTCTCCACACTCCCTGCATTCTCCACACTCCCTGCATTCTCCACACTCCCTGCATTCTCCACACTCCTTTCATTCTTCACTCCTTTCATTCTCCACACTCCTTTCATTCTCCACACTCCTTTCATTCTCCACACTCCTTTCATTCTCCACACTCCCTTTTTTTTCTCCACACTCCCTTCATTCCCTACACTCACTTCATTCTCCACACCCCTTTCATTCTCCACACTCCCTTAATTCTCCACACTTCCTTTGATCTTCACACTCCCATTAATCCTCACACTCCCTTCATTTCCCTCACTCCCTTCACACTCCACATTTCCTTCATTCTCCACACTCCTTTCAATCTTCACACACCCCCTTCGTTTCCCACACTCCCTTCACACACTCTACATTCTCCACATTTCCTTAGTTCTTCAAGCTCCCTTCATTCTCCACACTCCCTTCATTCACCTCCTCCCTCCTCCGCCCTGCTCCTCGCTGCCAGAGAGCTGGACATGAACAACTTCCAAGGCCCTCTGCCTGACTCTCTCAGCCGCCTCACCAACCTCCAAACCCTGTGAGCGGCCCACATGGGCAACGAGCGAACCCAACACGCTTGAATCGAACATTTTTCAAACACTTGGTCAAGTCGAACCGAACCGAACACGTTCGACTCGAACAGTTTTCCTAAATGGTAGTGTCTCTGTTCGAGTATAGGGTCGAACAGTTGTGAGGCAAGGTCAAACAGTTGTGAGGCAAGGTCGAACAGTTGTGAGGCAAGGTCGAATAGTTGTGAGGCAAGGTCGAACAGTTGTGAGGCAAGATCGAACACTAACGTGTTTGACCTGAACTCGAACAGTTTGCTTTTGGGGATACTTTCAGTATAGTCACATTCAGGGTACGTACAAATCCGGGCGCATGTATTACAAGCAATATCACAATGTCATGAAAGATAAGAGCGAAGATCAACAATGCTGCGCACTCAAACCCTCACTGTGAGCCTCCCTTGCCCTTCCTGTGAGCCTCACTTGATCTTCCTGTGATCCCCACTTGCCCTTTCTGTGATCCCTGCTTGCGAAATCACACTCCTGTATGCATTTACGGCGACTGCTCTTGCCTTTTACCCACCCCTGAATCCTGTGAGCTTGTGAACATGCGCTCTGCTTTATTTAAACCACACCCTGTACTGTAAGAAACTGTGTAAGGGAATCTACATTGGCTTCTATATAGATTCCCTTACACAGCCTCTTACAGTACAGGATGCGATTTACATACCACCTGCCTGCTACAGTACAGGATGCGATTTACATACCACCTGCCTGCTACAGTACAGGGTGTGGTTTATTCAAAGCAGAGCACATGTTCAGCAGCTGACAGGATTCAGGAGTTTATTCTCCCACCAGCCTGCCTCACTGTGCTCCTTGGTTTCTCTAATCATGCCACCACCATTCACTCCCTTCACCATCTTGCCATCTCCTCTTCAGCGATTTCGCACATAAAATGAAGGAAAAGGAAGCCACGTGGTGGAAAGTGAAGCATGAGTATAGGAGTATGAGGAGGAAGCAGCCGAGGAGGGATGGGAATTTTTTCACATGCATGTTGATATTCTCGTCTCTGCGTTCATGCATGGATGTGTCTACGCGTGTTTGGAGAGGTGGGGATGTTTCGTGTGTGTGTGTGTGTGTGCGTGTGTGTGTGTGTGTGCGCGCGTGTGTGCATGGGTGTGTGCGTGTGTGCATGTGCATGTGTGTGTGTGTGTGTATGTGTGTGTGTGTATGTGTGTGTGTGTGCATCTGTGTGTGCTTGGGTGCATGTGTGCATGCGTGCATGCATGTGTACCACAAATCAACAGCCGATTAGGTAACAACAGATTCTCTGGTTCCCTTCCGTCCAGTCTGACAGCTCTCACAGCACTCAAACAGTTGTAAGTCTTTCTAGAAACTGTTTGTCTGCCCCTTTTTGGCCCCGAGACACCATCATACTCCTTTAGTCACCACCTGCCATGCCATGTGTTCCGCATACATGAGTCAAGCAAATGCCCACGTGTGTGTATTACGGAAGAGCCTTCCCTTGCCGTCAAAGAGGCATTGTTAGAGCTTTGCTCCTGGTATAAGTTGCTCTTCATTCGAGTCTTGCGCCTGATTTATTTTGAGACGTCTCAAAACACTCCTTCTTTCATGCGCCTGATTTATTTCTCCCCCTCCTGGTTCTTACTTCTGCTCCGCCACATGCCTTGCACGGTCTCCCTGCATTCATGCTTGTCCATCCATCCCACTTCCGAATCCACCGCACTGCACCGCCTCTTTTGCAGATTACTTGCTTTCCACTCTCTTCCTCTTCGCACCCCGTTCCCCCATATATCTCAACCGCCAGATTTGCCCAAAACAACTCCTTCGAAGGCCCTCTGCCGATCTACTTTGGCCGCATGACCCAGCTTCAGGAGCTGTGAGTGCCGCAGCAGCTGTGAGTGCCGCAGCTGTGAGTGCAGCAGCTGTTAGTGCAGCAGCTGTGAGGGCAGCAGCTGTGAGTGCAGCAGCTGTGAGTGCAGCAGCTGTGGGGGCAGAGCTCAAAGTGTGCGTGACTGCCATTGTTTCCCTGGTTTTCACTGCCATTGTTTCCCTGGTTTTCACTGCCATTGTTTCCCTGGTTTTCACTTCCATTGTTTCCCTGGTTTTCACTGCCATTGTTTCCCTGGTTTTCACTGCCATTGTTTCCCTGGTTTTCACTGCCATTGTTTCCCTGGTTTTCACTGCCATTGTTTCCCTGGTTTTCACTGCCATTGTTTCCCTGGTTTTCACTGCCATTGTTTCCCTGGTTTTCACTGCCATTGTTTTTCAAACGAGTAGGCTGTGCCCATCCCTGGACCCTCTCCCCAACGCGATGCCATGCCTTTCTGGGCAGTCATGTCATGTGCCGCTCGTGCCCTGCCACTCGTGCCCTGCCACTCATGCCCTGCCTGCCATTCCTCCTACTCTCACCCACGCACACCTCCTTTACTTCATTTAATTTGCTCCTACTCTTACCCACCGCATGCCTCCCCCAGGAAGCTCTACTCCAACCCCATCCCTGCCTCTTTCTCTTCACGTCAACCCACTCCCACGGCATGCCTCCCCCAGGAAGCTCTATTCCAACCCCATGGGAGGGTCGCTGCCGGAGTCCTACTCGCAACTCAAGAACCTCACCCACCTGTACGCCTCCTCACCCACCTGTACACCTCCTCACCCACCTGTACGCATCCTCACCCACCTGTACACCTCCTCACCCACCTGTACGCCTCCTCACCCACCTTTACACCTCCTCACCCACCTGTACGCCCCCTCACCCACCTGTACGCCTCCTCACCCACCTTTACACCTCCTCACCCACCTGTACGCCTCCTCACCCACCTGTATGCCTCCTCACCCACCTGTATGCCTCCTCACCCACCTGTACGCCTCCTCACCCACCTGTACGCCTCCTCACCCACCTGTATTCACTCATCACATGCTCTTTTGAAGCCTTATCTGCTTCTTTCAACCGCCATTTAAGCCTCCCATCCCATGCCTCCCATGCCTCGCATGCCTCCCATGCCTCCCATGCCTCCCATGCCTCCCATGCCTCCCATGCCTCCCATGCCTCCCATGCCTCCCATGCCTCGCATGCCTCCCATGCCTCCCATGCCTCCCATGCCTCCCAAACCTCACACGGCTCTTATGCCTCATGTCTCCCCCACACGCCTCCTCACCTCTCCCCATCTATCCCCCCTCCTTCTCGCCCTCTCATCCTCTCACCTGCCCCAAATTCAGGCATCTGGAGGACATGGGTCTGTCAGGCCCCATTCCTGACTCATGGGGCAACATGGAAAATCTGCAGTACTTGTGAGTGTGTGCAGTACTTGTGAGTGTGTGCAGTACTTGTGAGTGTGTGCAGTACTTGTGAGTGTGTGCAGTGCTTGTTGTGAGTCTGCAGTGCATGTGAGTGTGTGGCAGCGCAACCCATCTGTGTTACTTTGTTCCTCCATGTTAAACGCACACTTCTGCCTGCTACGCGCATCCTCTTGTTTCATAGCCCACTTCACTTACTCCATTCGGTGCACTGTTGACTTTTGAGTCGACTCAAAAGTCAACTTACTCCATTCGGTGCACTGTTTCATGCCAAGGACTTCAATTCTATTCACTCATCTTCTCCCCACCCTCGTTCCTCTCTCTTACCCGTTCCTGCTCATACACACTGTCTCCTCCACCTTACCAGCCGTTTGAGTCGCAACGATATCTCAGGGATCCTCCCCACCCTCGTTCGTCCCTCTCTTTTCTTACCCATTCCTGCACAGCACATACACTGTCTCTCCCGCCTCCCCCCCCTGCCAGCCATTTGAGTCGCAACGATATTTCAGGGGTCCTCCCCACCTCGATGAATCAGCTCACCAACCTCATTGAATTGTAACCGTTTCATCTAGCCAACCTCATTGAACTGTAACCGTTTCATCTGACCTACCTCATTGTGAACTTTATTCGTATCTTTTAACCAACTGTAACCATCTCACCAACTGTAATGTAACCATGTCGCCACGCTTGTTCAACATCGTTATACCTCCTCTTGTTCATCCCCTTGCATCATTCGGGTTACTGATGCTTCACGAGCTCTGACCCCCAATGCTCTGACCCCCAATGCTCTGACCCCCAATGTTTATTGTCTGCTTCTCTACTTACACATTCTGCACTTTCTCCTGCCTCTCCATCTCCCCCTCTACCCCTCTCCTGGTCTCTGCCCTGCCGTCCCCACTCCGTATTTCCCCCTCTATGTCGCGTTTCTCTCTTCCCTGTCTCTCTCTCTGCCTGCAGTCTTCTCCTTCCCTTCATCCACCGTCTGCCTGCCTGCCCACCCGCCCGCCCGCCTGCTTGCCTGCCTGCCTGCCTGCTTGCCTGCCGTGCTGGCCTGCTGGCCTGCATGCCTGCTCTCTCTCCTGCCCTCACCACCAGCTCCATCTATCGCAATCCGCTGCTGGAGGGCAAGCTGCCGCCCTGCTGGGCCACCGTCCAGTCCCTCGGCACTCTGTACGCCCCTTCCCCTCAGCACACCTTTCCGCTACTCTCTTGCCCTTCCCCTGCTGCCCTGCTGGCCCACCACACAGTCCCACGGCACTCTGCATTAGGCATGGGCATTTGACCTGGACCCGACCCGACCCGGCCGGGTCGGGTCTGGTGTTCTGAGTATCCCGACCCGGGCGGGTCGGGTCGGGCCTACCCGTACGGGTCGGGTTGACCCGTGACCCGTCAGGGTATCTTTTTCACGGGTACCCTTGACCCGTCGGGTCGGGTCGACCCGTGACCCGAAATCGGGTTAAGATACGGAAATCGTAGGATAGACTGCAATAGCGGTGCGCGAATGGCTCTGCATCGGGCTGGCAAACAAGACGCATGATAGCTATAGTGTAGGAGGAGGCGTAGGAGAGATCGTGGATAGGGAAACCTAGGTCGAAGTTGAAATTTGTACTCCACAGTTGCCAAATTTGTGCACAATACTGTCTCCAACCAATTTCCCCTCCCATCACCTCTCTTAACCGCATTGCATCTAGATCATCCAACCAATTTGAGATTTGAAAGCTGGACAGTCGTCACTTCCAGATCTACAACAAAGTTCATCCGCCCTTAGATCCACGATTCCGCGCGTAGGGGGGGGAGGAATTCCAATCCGTGCGGATCTGGGGAGAATCGCCGATCCGCGCGGTTCGTCGGGGGAAATCGTCGATCAGCGCGTATGACGAGTTTTTCTTGGGTATAATTACCCGACCCGACCCGACCCGAGGGTACACTACCCGAGGACGGGTCACAGAGACCCGTGCCCACTATGGCGGGTCGGGTACCCTAAATTTGGCTTATCTTGACCCGCCGACCCGACCCGACCTGACCCGAACCCGTCACGGGTCGGCCTAGACGGGACGGGTCGGGTCAAATGCCCATGTCTACTCTGCATGCCTTACTGCCCTCCCTGCTCCCCTCCCTACCCTCCCCTGCCCTCCCCATGGCCCCCCCCTGCCGTCCCTGACCCCTCCCCTTGTCCTCCCCCTGCCCTCCCCGCAGCCCTCCCCCTATGCGCCTTGCTACCTCACTGGCCACAGCGGTTCGCACTCGCACACACTCTACCTCCCACACCCCACCTCTTTGTCTCCCCAGCCCTGGTTACTGGCTGCCCCCTGCTGCCCATCCCCACTACCCAATTCCACCGCCCCTCAGTGCTGTCCCTCGTGATGGTGCTATAAGCTTGTTCGTCCCCACCTGTTTCAATCCCCACCACCCTCTTGTTGCCCCTGTATCCAGCATGATCACCATCCATCCGACGCCCTCCCCTTCGCCTCCACCCACCCGCAGCAGCTCACTCCTCACAGCAGCTCACTCCTCACAGCAGCTCACTCCTCACAGCAGCTCACTCCTCCTCACAGTGCAACCGTGAGACCAGACCAGCCTCCATCCAACGTTTCCCTCCCCCCCATCCAACGATCCCTCTCTCTTCCTCCAACCCCCCACCCCCCACCTCCTTCCCTCCCCTCCCGCCCCAATCCACCCCTACCAGCTCTCTGCTGGGCACCAGGCTGCGCTGCCCCGACAACCTGCCGACTCCTGCTGCCCCGACAACCTGCCGACTCCTGCTGCCCCGACAACCTGCCGACTCCTGCTGCCCCAATATTCGATACCCATCCACCATTGTTCCCTCCCCCACCCCCCACCTCCTTCCCTCCCCTCCCTCCCCAATCCACCCCCACCAGCTCCCTGCTGGGCACCAAGCTGCGCTGCCCCGCGCGCCCCGCCGACTCCTGCTGCCCGGGGTGCCTTCAGAGCGACCTGCCCTTCTGCTCCCTCCTCTGCCCCGACTTCTGCCAACAATGCAAACCACCCCGTAACCCCCTCTCTTACTGCCAACCACCGTCTGTAACTGCTCCTTACCACATCACCTCCTCCTCGTCACATCACTGCCCCATTCTCCAGGGGACCATCCTGGTTCTGTTCCTGTCTTTGTCTGCTACACATTTTCTCTCCCTTTTTACCCCTTATTTACTCAGCAGCAACAATGCTCACTCGTGTGTTACCCCCCACCACCCCATTTGTGCCATCCACCCTCTTCATCTGCCCTGCACTGCCCGCCCGCCAGTGCTGTCTCCAGCAGGCATAGCAGGCGTGGTGGTGGGGAGCGTGGTGCTGCTGCTGGTGGTGCTGCTCGTAGTGCTCTACGTATGGTACTACTACTGGGGACCTGGCAGCCGCAAGGGTGAGTGGGTGGGGCGAAGGAGAGTGAGGTGCGGTGGTGAGTGTGGTGGTGGGGATGTGCGTGGGGTGGGCTGGGGGTCGCTGCTGGTGGTGGTGCCGCTCGTATCGCTCTACATGTGGTATTCCTACTGGGGACCCGGCAACCGCAAGGGTGATTGGGATGGGGAGGGTGAGTTTAGGGGGAGGCTGAGTGGGGTGATGAGGGTGAGTGAGATGGGGAGTGCGATTGGAGTTAGAGTGTGAATGGGGTGGGGAGGGTAAGTTGGATGAGGTTGTGTGAGTGGGGAAATGTGAATGGAGTGGAGGGAGTGCCACGTATGGTAAATCAACTACAGGCGTGATTCGATGTGCGGAAAGATCCAAAGGGTGCATACCGACAGAAGCACAGACGAGGTTGCTCATCTTCCCTCCCCTCTCTGCTTCCCCGAGCTCTCCTCCTCCTCCCTCCCTCCCACTGTGCTCCCCCGCCCTCTGTGCCCCCCCCTACCCTCTCACCCCCTTCCTCCTCCCCTGCAAGCAGCGTGGGAGAGGGAGCTGCAGCAGGGCTTCAGGAGGTACACGTGGAGGGAAGTTATGGAGGCGACCAACCAGCTGAGCCCCGACAACCTTCTCGGCAAGGGCGGCTTCGGCTCCGTGTACTGGGGCGTCATAGGCGGGTCCCAGCAGAGCGGGTGGAGCACAGGGGTGTGGAAGCGAGCTGAGGCCAGCTGGAAAGCAGCAAGCAGCGGCATGCACAAGGGGAGTGGGATGAGCGGAGGGAGTGGGACGACGAATGGGGGGAGTGGCACAAGTGTAGGGAGTGGGACAAGTAAGGGGAGCGTTACGAGTGCAGGCAGCAGGAACATTGCTTCTGTTGCTCCTGCGGACGGCAGTGCCCCAGGGGTGGGCGGCAGTGCTCCCAAGGTGGGCGGCGGTGTGCGTGTGGTGGTGGGCGGCGGCATGGAGGTGGCGATCAAGCGAGCAGCTGTTGTGGAGCGATCGTCCAACGTCGCCACCATGTTTGAAGAAGAGGTGCGCGGTGCGGTGCGGTGCGGTGTGATCGGGTGTGGTGTGGTGGCATGGAGGGGTTGTGTTCGTGGTACGGTGCAGTGTGATCGGAAGTGGTGTGGTGGTGTGGAGGGGGTGTGTCTGTGGTGCGGTGCGGTGTGATCGAGTGTGGTGTGGTCGTGTGGAGGGAGTGTTTCTGTGGTGCGCTGCGGAGTGATTGGGTGTTGTATGGCCGCGTGGAGGGAGTGTGCGTGTGGTGCAGTGGCAAGGAGGTCTGCTTCTATGTTGGAAAAGTCGTGCCCAGCATATTATACGCAAGCGCACATACGCTTGCGTATAATACGGGATGCGCTGAATGGGTGACTCAAGAATACGTGAAAAATACGCTGCCCGGTCAGGTAAAGCTTTTTTTCCGGTCAGGCGGCACGAGGAACCTCATTAGTTGCACTCGCGGGAGTGCCAGTGCCAGTAGGGGGCGTCATCGTAGAGCTGCGAGGTGATCGAGAGAACTGGAGAAAGAGAATTGGACGACGTGACTGATGAGAATGTTTAGGGTTGGGAGGGACTTACCTTTTTGTCCTCGATGAGAGTTGAGGTAGGCTAGACATTCGTGTAGCTGATTTGGAGTCGCGGGGTAAAGGACGGTGCAATGCGGTTGATTTGACTGTCCCCTTGCCAAATTTGTGTGTTGGTGGGGTCGACGAATTCTTGATGTGCGAACAATTTGACGTCACATTTGCAAAATTCGTGCGCACAATGTGTGTCGCAACGCATTTTCCAATTTCGTGCGCGAACTTTTTTTTTTTGGCCGGGCAGCCCGGATTTTTCCGAATGAATGTACGTACGTATTGCGTACAGCGTATATTCGTCTACGTATATACGCTGTACGCATGCCCAGGCTGGCGACTTTTCCAGCATAGGTCTGTTTTAGCGTGGCCTGGTGTGATAGAGAGGTGCTACTTGGTTGCAATGAGTAAGGTGAGGGGGCTAAACGAATGAAAAGAGGAATACTTCGGTTGATGAGGCATGTGTTGGTAAGCACAATAGTTTTGTTGGAATGTGCCTAAAATGAATGTCAAAATCAAAATGCAAAAGATACTGATTTCAGCCGGGCTTCATAACTCAATTAGGGCGCGTGGCACAGCAAAATTCGACTGTCGAAGTTCGACTTTTTACAGCAAAGCCCGAGCGTGGAAATTCGAATGCGAGGTCGACCCAGTTGAGTGTCCTACCGTTTTCTCGATCTTTGAACATGGACACACGAACGTCGCATAACAACCCTAAACGATATTTGCGAAATTGGTTACCATCAAAAGGTCGACCTTTTTTTCAAACTCCGACCACAAAGGACACGCGCCCTTACAAATAAGTGACAACACCAAACCATATGCTATATTATATAACGTCGTTCTTTTTAGGTAATTTGAGTTGAATCACATCATTCTAGCAAGTAGTTAGTGATCGTTTTGTTGGTTTAAAAAAGCGGCAGTATGACAGCAACTATAGTCCTAAAATTGAAGCTTGAATATATGATGGTTTCCAGCCTAAGATACAGAAGTAGAGGAGGTGGGAATGTGCCCCACAATCGCCGAGCGTGAAATGGCTCAGAAGTACCCACCAAAGTGACATCCTTCAATATAGATGATGCGTCACAGAATGATCCGATATTTTTTTTATTTACGACATGGCGAATTTTTAGCATACTGGAACCTTGAAAAGGTGGTACAAGGTCTTCCTTGAGCCTTTGCTGCACAACACTTTCAATGAACGTTCAACAAATGACAAGATCGAACCACGCACGACTCACATACAATGACTTGGCACACGATCTACAATGACTTGGCACACGATCTACAATGACTTGGCACACGATCTACAATGACTTGGCACACGATCTACAATGCCGTGCTAATGAAATGATGCATGCATAAGGCCATCGTCCAAGCAAACATACGAAGATGGCACACACACAACACAGCACACCTGTGAAAAATACCAGGCAATGTTTTTTTGCTCAATTTATGTTGACCGTTTTTTCTTTCTTTCTTTCTTTCTTTTCCCGTACAACTTCAGCAAAAATTGTTGGTGATGGAAATCAAAGTTTTCTTTGTCTATGCGACATGTCTTACAAATGTTTCCCAAAAATTGTCGATGGGGAACGTTTGGGATATGTGTGTGTATCACATGACGTATTTTCCATTACAATACGTACATGTCAAATATATGTAAAGAGTAATTCTATGGTTCCCTACTTCGCACAGAAGTTTCTACTCAAGGTTTCCGTACAATAGTATCGACATCATTGCTGCCACCAAGCCACCATGCCATCATGCCACCATGCCATCATGCCACCATGTCACCATGCCTCTGTGTCACCATGCCACCATGCCACGTGGCCCCTCTCTCTCCCCCTCACGTACTCTCCTGGTCTGGCTGTCCCCACGCCTGGCAGGTGAAGGCGGTTTCCAAGTTGAGCCACAAGAACCTCGTGCGCCTCCTCGGCTACTGCAACGAGAGCAACGAGCAGGTGCCGCTCTCTTCCAAAAAATGCCGCCCTTGTCTCCTAAGAATATTCCCCTTAGTCGTGACAGACAGCTGCATCCTCATCCTTGACCACATGGTGCAGCCTTTTGCTTTTTGATTAAGAAATCTCTAAAGCTCCTTATCACACCTTCTTGTAGCAGCTTCACAAGTTGATACTTCATCATATGAAGACTTGTATTGAGGGGCGGCAGCGGGTCTGATACTGCATGTCCCCGCAGCTGCTTGTGCGCAACCGCACATCTGTGCTTGTCCCTAAACCACCCCACCACCCTCCCTCCCCCCCCTATGTGCGTGAAGGCCCTCTGAACGACCACCCGTACGAGAAGGTTGGTGGGCACCTGCTGGCCTTTGAGTTGTCCCATTGCAACCCCCTTCCACCGGGTGTTGGTGTACGAGTTTGTGTGCAACGGCTCTCTGAGCCACCATCTATACGTTTCTGCTCACCTTCGAGGAGCGGCTTCTTGAGTTGACTCAAAAAGTCATCCCCCACCCCCTCCCTCTTGACAGGTGTTGGTGTACGAGTATGTGCCCAACGGAGACATCAGCGACCATCTGTACGCCAAGTTCCAAGGGCACCTGCTGACCTTCGAGGAGCGGCTGGACGCTGCTTTGGGGCTGGCGGAGGGGCTCAAGTACCTCCATTATCATGCAGAGAAGCCTATTGTGCACCGCGACATCAAGCCCTGCAACGTTCTGCTCACAGAGGAGTACCAGGTGGGTGGAATGCGGTAGCAGGGTATCACACGATGCCAGTCAGAGGGGCTCAAGTACCTGCACTGTCATGCAGAGAAGCCCATTGTGCATCGTGACATCAAGCCCTGCAACGTGCTGCTCACAGAGGAGTACCAGGTAAGGGGAAGCCAATCACTGAGTGCCACATGGCAGAATGGCATGCCAGGATGCAGGGAAGCCCATTGAGACCTCCGGACATTCTGAGCCTCTCACCATCGCACCGCATGGCACCACCACGGTGTCTGTTAAGCAGCTGCTGCCATTGGACATCCTCAAGACAAGGCATGGACATAATCACTGTCTCTTTCTCCTGCCCTCCCCTCCCATTCCCCAACCACCCTCCGTGCCGCGTCCCGTCTAGATGAAGATCGCCGACTTGTGCCTAATATGGGAGGCCTCCAGACCATGCATATGCAACCACTTCCCACCCCCCCTTCAACTTGTGACCGCCTTCCCCACCACCTCCCTTGCTGCCATGCAGGTGAAGATCGCCGACTTTGGTTTGATACGGTCGCTGCAGGAGGGCGCGGAGCAGGAGGGCACGTTCACGCGTGTGGCGGGCACGAGGGGGTATCTGGACCCCGAGTACATGACGTGTGAAAAGCTCTCCACAGCGAGCGATGTGTACAGGTGGGTGTGAGTATGAGTCTATGTTTGCGATTATGTGGGCACAAGGGGGTATTTGGACCCCGAGTACATGACGTGTGAGAAGCTCTCCACGGCGAGTGACGTGTACAGGTGGGTGTGATCATACAGGTGGGTGTGATCATACAGGTGGGTGTGATCATACAGGTGGGTGTGATCATACAGGAGGGTGTGATCATACCGGTGGGTGTGTGGGAGGGTGGGTGGGTGGTGGTGTGTGGGGGTGTGTCTGTGTGTGGGGGTGTGTCTGTGTGTGTGTGGGGGTGTGTCTGTGTGTGGGGGTGTGTCTGTGTGTGCGTGTGGGTGTGTGTGTGCGTGTGGGTGTGTCTGTGTGTGGGGGTGTGTCTGTGTGTGGTTGGGGGTGTGTCTGTGTGTGGGGGTGTGTCTGTGTGTGCGTGTGGGTGTGTGTGTGCGTGTGGGTGTGTCTGTGTGTGGGGGTGTGTCTGTGTGTGTGTGGGGGTGTGTCTGTGTGTGGGGGTGTGTCTGTGTGTGCGTGTGGGTGTGTGTGTGCGTGTGGGTGTGTCTGTGTGTGTGTGGGGGTGTGTCTGTGTGTGTGTGGGGGTGTGTCTGTGTGTGTGTGGGGGTGTGTCTGTGTGTGTGTGGGGGTGTGTCTGTGTGTGGGGGGGTGTGTGTCTGTGTGTGGGGGTGTGTCTGTGTGTGCGAGTGGGTGTGTGTGCGAGTGGGTGTGTCTGTGTGTGCGAGTGGGTGTGTGTGTGAGTGGGTGTGTGTGCGAGTGGGTGTGTGTGCTCCACATCCCTCCATGTCCCTCCATCCCATGTCTCCTCCACATCCCTCCAAATGTCTCCACATCTCTCCATATCTATCCACATCTCTTTACATCTCTCCACATCTCTCCACATCTCTCCACATCTCTCCAAATCTCTCCGCATCTCTACCCACCAGCTACGGTGTGCTGCTACTTGAGATGGTGACGGGGCGGCCAGCCACGGAGAGTGACCCAAACGACCAGAGCTGCCTCAGGCACATCACCTCCTGGGTGAGCTGGCATGTCCACGTCAGCACTTGGGTGAGCTGTCATGTCCACGTCAGCACATGGATGAGCTGTCGAACAATGTATGGCTGTGAGATCATTGCAGAGAGCAGCACCACCACCTGTCCGTGCCCGTGCGCCGCCCAGCCTGACACAAGCCAGCCAGTGCATACCGGAAATGTCAAGGCACATGCTGCCAAACCATGCCACCCTGCACCACATGCGTCCATCAGAGCATGCCCTACCACGAAGGTTCTTTCTCTTCTCATGCCAAGTCTCTCCACCTCCATGCCTTGTAATCGCCCCTCCCTTCCCCCCCACCCGCCCCCACCACCCTCCAACACCCCTTTCCTCCCGCCAGGAGCTGTGACACACATCGTTCAGCGTGACGTTTGACATCCCCCAAAACGCCCACCTTTCGCTCCCTCTCCACCCAGCAGAATGAGAGCCTGTTGTGTCATCCCCTCCCTCTTCTCCCACCGCCCCTTCCTCCCCCCCCCCCCCCCCACACCAGGCGGTGCCGTACATAGAGCGCGGGGAGATCCGAGAGATAGTGGACGCGCGCATTGCCTCGCCGCTCAACCTGCCCTTTCTGCTGCAGATGGCGCGCACCGCCGCCCTCTGCGTGCAGCTGCCGTCCACCCGCCGCCCGGACATGGCTGAGGTGGCGCGCGTCATGCTGGACGCCCGCCGCACCTTCCATGCCGCCGCCGCCGCCGCTGCTGCCGGCGCCGCTGCCCTCGCTGCCACTGGTGGTGCTGGCGGGCCGGGGGTGCATGGAGGAGGAGCAGGAGCAGCTGCGGCAACGCACGTTTCAAGAGGAATCCTGGGTGGGGGAGGGGCGCTGGGTGGGGGAGGGGCGCTGGGTGGGAAGGGGAGCCCCCGAGGAGCAGAGGCGAGGAGGAGTGGGCTTGTGGGTGCCAGCGGCAGGGCGTTGGGGAGTGAGAGCATGAAGAGATGGGTGCATTACTTCGGCGGCGGGGGTGGAGGGCGGAGCAGGCAAGAGAGTAATCGAATTGAAGAGATTGTCCCAGAGACTGGCTCAGTGAAGCCCGACAGTGGATATACGGTTACCACTGGTAACACAACAACCAGCGACTCTGCTAGTGGAGATAGAGACGTACCGTGAGGGGAGAGGAGAGCCGCAAGTGTGTGTCTGGCGCATTAAGTACACTGTTCCTCCAGATTCAAGCAGCAAGTGTGAATTCCATTACCAGTGCGTACCGGCAGGTAGCAGACCTATGTCAATGCGCGCACACACACACACACACACACACACACACACACATACACACACACACACATACACACACATACACACACACACACACACACACACACACACACACACACACACACACACACACACACACACACACACACATTCATATATGTATATATATACGGTACATATATATGTATATGTTGGGGTTTACTATAGAAAATTAAGGATGCAAGTTCTACCCCCTTCGTATGCCTTTACTGTTTTACCCCGGATCGAAGCACACCTACGCTTATAATAAAGCAGAGTTTTTTAGGGCGGTGCACTTCCGATTGAGTCATTTTAATAACCGCATGCGCTTATATAATGACATACAGAAATATAAATTTTTAGCATAAAATTGTACATCCCTGTCGTACCATTCCAATCGAGGCGAAATTTTACACCTCTAGGAATCAGAGTCGCGCGCTACCGATTTTTTACCAACACACAGGGGCTCTAGGAATCAGACACGTCAGTTTGCCCCTATGCCAGCACATCTTGGCCTGACGCGCAGCTTCTGAGGTCTTCGCGAGTCAAACGAAGAAATTAGGCTCGCTTAAATTCTGAAACAGCAGATTTTATATAGAAAATTATGGATGCGCTTATAGTAGAACAGGGTTTTACAGGGGGTGCGCTTATAACTGAGGATCGGCCATAAGCGCATTGCTCCTGATATAAGCGCATGCGCTTTTAATAGGCCTGCACTTATATCCGGGGTGACACGGTATGACTTGTCAAAACATATTGTTATGTTCTGACTCTAGGTTGTGTAGGGTCACACCTTAGAGGGTACAACCCAACTCTCTCGACATCCTTGTACCCCCTCCCTCTTACCGTCTCCCCCCGGATATACCCCCATGGGGGGCAATAATAAAACAGGTTTTTTCATGGGGGTGGGCTTATAATCGAGTAAATTTATAAGCGCCGGCGTTTATAAAATGACATACATATTTTTTTATATCTTTTAACACCAAACTGTAGGTCTCGTGCTTGCCTTTTCAATCGAGTCGAAGTTACATGGGATCGTCTGTGAAATTCTCGCGCGCGCTGGGAGATACACCCAATCTGACTCACATCCAGCTCCTGACAGGTCCTGCTGACTGGACCCGCATCCAGTGCAGGGTCCGAATGTGAAGGGAACCGAATCTGCAACATATCCGCCTGCTAAAGTAAAAATCGTTACAGCTTTTTGAACACATTTCAAATTTTAAAGTTTACGTGCGCTTATAATAAAACAAGTTTTTTCAAGGGGTGCGCTTATAATCGAGGAGGGGATATAAGCGCCATATGCCAATTAGAAGCGCCAGGCGCTTATCCTAGGGTGGCGCTTATATCCGGGGGGAGACGGTATCTAATCCACACTCATTCCTCATCTAGCTAGTGATTCTAACATGGTATTAAGAGCACAATGCTCCTTAGGACCGAATTTTTAAAAGGGCCCACCACTACTATTTCGATCTACTGCCCGAGTCGCGCCCCTAGTGTTGGGCTGAGACGCCCTAGGATCTTTGTAGAGTTAAAGTCTGAGTAGATGTTGTAATAGCGGAAGCGATGAATGAAGTCTTTGAACCACCTTGCGCTGGTATGTGAGGGCAAAGTAAGTTGATTAAAGCAAAGAGATACAAGAATATAAATAGATGAGTACAGAGAATATGAAGAAACATTAAAACTAATTTTACTGTTGCGGTTCGATACAGTGCGACTCGGGCAACTGCTCAATGTCGAGTCAGTTGTTTGTCCTTGCTGTCGCGCTGTGTCAGGTCAAAGGTCGCTGACCTTTGACTTTCCCGTAACCTCCGACGGTTACGTTAACCACCTGGGTTGACTCGCGATGCTTCGTTTTGTGTCTTGAATTCTGACACGACAGAGGCGCTTAACTTATTTGTTCCCAACACTCCCCTTCGCTTCTGGAGTGTCGCTGATGGTGACGTGGCTTTGTCCAGTCAGCAGCATGCAGTATGTTGGAAACAATAAGTCCTAAGTGCGCTTCTGTCGTATCAAAATCCAAGGTACCAAGCGAAGCAGTCCCAATCGAAGCATCGAGTCAACCTCGGAGGTTAGGGTAACCGCCTGGAGGTTACGAGAAAGTCAAAGGTCGCTGACCTTTGACTCGACAATTACAGCGCGACAGTTAAGGACACACAACTGACTCGTTACAGAGCAGTTGCCCGAGTCGCGCTATATCGAACCGCAACAGCAATACAGTTATCTATCTATTCCCTGTACTCTTATATAAATCCTTGTATTTGCTTGTTTAATTCAATCAACTTTGCTCTCACACACCAGTGCAAGGTCGGTTCAAATTCTTCACTAAACGCTTCCGCTATTACAACTACTTCACCTAGAGTTATCCCTTGCAAAGATCCTAAGGGGCTATCTCAGCCCAACATGGTATGAGAGCTGACAAGGGAAACTCTACTCTTTTTTTTAATATCATTACAAGACATGGCAACAAACAAGGAAAGGAGCTCCCCTAATGGCTCCTCGGGCACTACTCCTAGTCCACCGTCAGCCTCTGGCCTGCAGACAGAAGAAGGCACGGCAACAAGACCAAGAGGAACGTCAACCGAGACCCCCATGAACCACCCTTCGGACTTTGACCAGAACATGATGGAGAAATTTTTCTCCTTCATGTCCTTCTACGAACAACACCAGCAGTCGGGACCTGCACAAACACACAACAGCAACAACGGAGCGACACCCATGAGTCTTGATGGGTCGTCATATGCGCGAGGAAACCAGCAGCAGCAACCTACCTTTGCTCCGTACGAGCGCGGGTCAATCAGCTTCGTGCCCCACCCGCAACCTTCACCTGGACAAGAAAGACCACTGGACGCACTTCAAGTTCAGTCGCAGTTTGCACACGTCTTAAAACTGCAAACGTCAAGACCCTTCGACGGCAAAGACTTCTTTACCTGGTCCTTTGAATTCGAGCTGATGATGGAGGGCGCGCAGATACTCGGCTTCTTCGACGGGTCCCTGCAGTATCCAGCCAACGGGACACAATATGAAAAGCAGCAGTATACGTATCAATCAATGATGGCGTATACAATCCTATTGAGGAATATGACACCAACTCAGCAGCAGAACATTCGCTCTTACCGGACCTTCGGCAACTCGGCGGAGCTCGCGTACAGCCATCTGAAGAACCTGTATCAAGCAACAGACAGTGTAAACCAGAGCAGGTTAATGGCGCAGTTGACGACAGTCGAAATGAAACCAGGAGAAAAAGGACTGGCGTATATCAGCCGATGTCGCGAACTGCGCGACAAGCTGCTTCGATGCGGAGGGTCAATCTCTGAAGACGCCTTCGTGACAGTCATCATTGGTGGGCTTGGTCCTCAGTGGCGCGCCACCAAAGCCATTCTTCGAGCCCACGGAAGAATCTCTGAAGCTGCACTCTGCGCCGAAATACATGCCGAGCAGCAAGATATGGACCTGCAGGAAGAACGACACAGGAAGAAAACGACAGTATCAGAGTTCGCATTCCACACTCAACGACGACACAGCAATTATAACAACCGACAGCAGCAACCGAAGATAGTACCTCCCTTCTGCCACATCTGCAAGACTTCAGGGCACCCGCGCACACACTGCCCGAATCGTCAGCAATCAACGGCACCACAGCGACAACTTCGACCTTCAAGCTCCCAAATGGCTTCAACACAAGCAAGTGCGACGACCACTATTCAAGCTTCAACGACTTCACCCGGACAACCTGCACAAGGAGCAAGAAATATAATCAACTGCATGACGAAGATAACCGATTCATGTACAACCGAATCACCACCACACTACTCACCGGAAGAAGAGCTTGACAACAGAACGCCTCGCCGTGAGCTACTCCAGCCGAATCCAACGTACGCCGCCATCGCTCAAAGTGAACCGTCCGGCCAAGACACCTGGTTCTTGGACAGTTGCTGCGGGCAACACATGTGCTCGTCCGGGCGTTTCGTACAACGCGAACATCGACTCCAACGGGAAGTGATCATCACGGTTGCCAACAACCAAAACCTGCGCACACGAAGACAAGGAGTGGTACAGCTTCAGTCAAGAGAAACAAATGTCATACTGCACATGTCTAAGGTACTCATCGCTGAAGGACTCGGCTACAACTTACTGAGCGTTAGCCAGTTGATGGCGAAAGGAATTCATCTGGAAGCCGACAGCACGACCCAGGAGTTCAAACTTTACCACGGGAGAGGCGGTCTCTACATCGGGAAAGCAGTGCTGAAGAACAACGTCTTCGTCCTCGACTTCGTTCCTGACCTGGGCACTGCAGACAGCGACGCCATCGTGAATTTCACTGACTGGACACACCCTCCGGATCTCGACCCCGACTTCAGCCCAGGAGGCTTCTGGTACTCGCACACCATTCCTGAAGCAGAACGAACACGAGCATTAGCAACAATTCGACAATCGGCAGCAGCAACAACATCAGCAGCAGTAACAACATCGGCAGCAGCAACAACATCAGCAGCAGTAACAACATCGGCAGCAGCAACAACATCAGCAGCAGCAGGAACAACGACACCAGTCACAGTCGACGAAGCACCACCAACACCCGCGAAACAGCTGAATCCGACTCAACGTGAAGTCCACCGAAGCGCCAACCTCGTCGCCAGCTTTTACTCCAACTCCGACGCATATCAGCGTTCACCTGGACACCGTGCCTCTGAAGAGATCTGGCACGCACGAACAGGACATCCAAGCAACACGGTTTTGAATAACACGATAAGAGCAGGAGTCCTTGACAAAGATTCTCTACTTCTACCCGATGGCAGAGAACTCCAGAAGGCACGAGGGACTTGCCTTATATGTCCCAAAGCTGACTTACCTCATCGACAGTTTGCTTCACATCACAA